GTTGATGTATACTCTCAAAACATTTAAGCAAGACCAATTAAAGACTATTATATGATATAATAATAATATACACTAGTTGATGGATTTCGATTACATCAAAATAAGCGACATAAAACATCGAATAGAGAAGGGTAGGGAGTTGAGACTTGGATTGTATAAAAAGTATTGCAGAGCCGTCAATGCTCTTGACGGAGTTGACACCGCGCTTGTAACAGCTGGCATGGGACTCGGTGTAGCCGGTGTTGGTTTACTATCAACTATAATTGCCGCGCCTATCATACTTGGTATGCAAATAGCCGCCGGAGTCTCAGGACTGGCAGGAATCGCGATAAGTTTCATTTCTCATAAGTTGCAAAAGAAAGCATTAAAACATGATAATATTCGTATACTCGCCGAAGCAAAGTTGAACAGCATTGAGGATCATATTTCAACAGCAATGGCTGATTGTAAGATATCCGAGAAGGAGTTTCGTTTAGTGTTGTCAGAACTCACCAAATACAACGCAATGAAGCAGGAGATTCCATCAAAGACCAGTGGTATTAGTAGCGAAGACGAGGAAAAAAGCTCATAGAACAGGGAAGACAACAAGCGTGTCAATTATTCCGTGCCAAAACCAACATTTAGAAGAATGCTTCCATAAATATATAATAATGGAATTTATGCTCAGGGACAAAATTATCAAATGGAAAGAATTACCACAAGGTATATATTATATCAGTGATATCAAACCAACCAAATACGGCCATCAATTGTTTCTTTCCAATTACCAAGAAGAGTATATAGTCTCGTCTCCTAGTCAAATGAACGAAGAACTTCGTAAAAATGTTGAGTATCACTTTGTTAAAAATAATGGTATACATATGAATAAAAATAATAGAGAATATTTTCATTACAATTTAGTTTAATCTCATGCATATATGACGATCGTTGAATGGCATCATCATTTTTGCACAAAAAATCCCCCCTGTAGTGGTGGTATAGGTATATAAATCTGGCTCCAGTTGATGTGAGCCAGAATCACCATTACTTATACTACTCCTCCTCTCTCCATTGCTCGCCACATCACCCACTCTCTCCCTTGCTCATCCTTTCACTCCCTCTCTCCCTTGCTCACCATATCACCTCCTCTCTCCCTTGCTCACCACATCGCCCCCTCTCTCCCTTGCTCATCCTATCACCTCCTCTCCCTTGCTCATCCAATCAATCCGTCTCTCCCTTGCTCATCCTTTCACTCCCTCTCTCCCTTGCTCATCCACACACTCTCTCCCTTGCTCACCACATCACCCCCTCCCTCCCTTGCTCATCCTGTCACTCGTCTCTTCCTTGCTCGCCACATCACCTCCTCTGTCCCTTGCTCACCATATCACCCCCTCTCCCCCGTATTTATCCAATCACCCCCTCTCTCCCTTGCTCACCATATCACTTCCTCTTCCCCTTACTCACCATATCACCTCCTATCTCCCTTGCTCACCATATCACCCCCTCTCTCCCTTGCTCATTCTATCACCTCCTCTCTCCCTTGCTCACCATATCACCCCCTCTCTCCCTTGCTCATCCTATCACCTTCTCTCTCCCTTGCTCGCCATATCACCCCCATCTTTCCCTCTCTCCCTTGCTCACCATATCACCTCCTTTCCCCCTTGCTCATTCTATCACCTCCTCTCTCCCTTGCTCACCACATCACCCCCTCTCTCCCTTGCTCACCATATCACTCCCTCTCTCCCGTATTTATCCAATCACCCCCTCTCTCCCTTGCTCACCATATCACCCCTCTCTCCCTTGCTCATCATATCACCCCTTAAAAATAATGGTATACATATGAATAAAAATAATAGAGAATATTTTCATTACAATTTAGTTTAATCTCATGCATATATGACGATCGTTGAATGGCATCATCATTTTTGCACAAAAAATCCCCCCTGTAGTGGTGGTATAGGTATATAAATCTGGCTCCAGTTGATGTGAGCCAGAATCACCATTACTTATACTACTCCTCCTCTCTCCATTGCTCGCCACATCACCCACTCTCTCCCTTGCTCATCCTTTCACTCCCTCTCTCCCTTGCTCACCATATCACCTCCTCTCTCCCTTGCTCACCACATCGCCCCCTCTCTCCCTTGCTCATCCTATCACCTCCTCTCCCTTGCTCATCCAATCAATCCGTCTCTCCCTTGCTCATCCTTTCACTCCCTCTCTCCCTTGCTCATCCACACACTCTCTCCCTTGCTCACCACATCACCCCCTCCCTCCCTTGCTCATCCTGTCACTCGTCTCTTCCTTGCTCGCCACATCACCTCCTCTGTCCCTTGCTCACCATATCACCCCCTCTCCCCCGTATTTATCCAATCACCCCCTCTCTCCCTTGCTCACCATATCACTTCCTCTTCCCCTTACTCACCATATCACCTCCTATCTCCCTTGCTCACCATATCACCCCCTCTCTCCCTTGCTCATTCTATCACCTCCTCTCTCCCTTGCTCACCATATCACCCCCTCTCTCCCTTGCTCATCCTATCACCTTCTCTCTCCCTTGCTCGCCATATCACCCCCATCTTTCCCTCTCTCCCTTGCTCACCATATCACCTCCTTTCCCCCTTGCTCATTCTATCACCTCCTCTCTCCCTTGCTCACCACATCACCCCCTCTCTCCCTTGCTCACCATATCACTCCCTCTCTCCCGTATTTATCCAATCACCCCCTCTCTCCCTTGCTCACCATATCACCCCTCTCTCCCTTGCTCATCATATCACCCCTCTCTCCCTTGCTCATCATATCACCTCCTCTCTCCCTTCCTCATCCACACACTCTCTCCCTTGCTCATCCACACACTCTCTCCCTTGCTCATCCACACACTCTCTCCCTTGCTCATCATATCACCCCCTCTCTCCCTTGCTCATCCACACACTCTCTCCCTTGCTCATCCACACACTCTCTCGCTTGCTCATCCACACACTCTCTCCCTTGCTCACCCACACACTCTCTCCCTTCCCTGGTTATCACTCACTCTCTCCTTTGCTCATCTCCTTACTGTGGATGACTGATGTTGATTGTGAAAGCGATTAAAAAAAGGTTGTACTCCAGTCGCAGCGATAAAGCTCGTAGTCGCTCACCCCTTTGGTAAAAATGTGGAGTTTGTTTTCAAACCAGGGCTCATGATCAGGTCCACGCCACTTTCTTTGACATTCAGCTGAGATGCAGTTATATGACTGAAATGAGTTTTCACCTGATGAAGGGACAAGATGTAGCCTCGAAACATTGTGTGTAAGTAAGGATAAGAATTTATGGATGAACAACTTCTTTATTACAATTAAGAACGAAGTTTCGGTGTAGGTTCTAACACCGTTATCAAGCAAGTGATTTATAGAGTGTGGTTGGCAAGTATATATACAAGTAGGAGGCAATGTTTATACAGTAGAGTAGATATTGTTATACTGGAGTAGAGAAGCCTGTTATGTACACACACGGGTAGTGATGACAATCATCGTTGAAGTCAGTGACATAAACAAAGGATGAAGCCAGTAATATAAACAACGGGATTATGGCTGATTGGGGTCTTTGATGAGTTGTTGGTACGCCGGTTGATTGACGGCTGAAGTCTTTTGATGTTGATGGCTTCTTGTAGTTTTCCTCATCCTAATTATAATAAAGCAGTTGTTCATCCATAAATTCTTATCCTTACTTAGTACTCCAACTTCTAAATGCCTATCAAAGACGTTATTGTGTGTAAGTGTCAGTGTGTTTGGTTTAACGCAGTAATGCAGCAATATCAATGCCTGTCAGTTTAATGTCGGAGGAAAGGCCGATGTATAATGTATACAGAACTTTTTTATTGGTTTATTTATTGGTTTGTTTGCTGTTTAATGACACACACAGCAATGCTCCAGATATAGAAGTTAAATCCATGTATCCTGTGTCTCTATAAACTGAAGCGAGGCTCGAAACGGTATTAAATCAAACTGATTCAGTCACGTGAACTAACATAAAATAGATTCAAAACATATTTCCGTGTCTAAACAAGCAGCATTGTTTCAGGAAATCGGAGAGTGTGAGTGTCTTATGACGGAGTGAGATATATTCCAGTTATATCACTATATATACATGTAATCTATGCCGGGACAGACAGACCATTGACTCAGGTCATCTACGCTGCTTGAACACTCGATGACATGACGGATTGGGTATCTATTCGGCGATAGACAACCCGAATTTTGGCGTGCTGATTGATAGAGCTTGTGTGTATTCTACCGTATCCTGTGCCGATCTATAGACACAGTTTCTCTGTACTATTTGGCCGTTTGTCTGTCAAGTGGTCCGAAACTATCTATTCGGACCTAGAATCTCCACGGGGTTCGGATGATTGGAAACGATAAATGAAACAAAAGGGACAACACAGTACAAAATAATTGACAAATAGCTGACTGTTCCTAAAAAGAAAGCTTAATGCAACACTGCATCTGTAACGGAGACTGTAAGGTGGGTGGTTCAGTCCCCGGCCGTGTCAAAGAAAGATGACGTTAAAATGAGGCACTTGATGTTACCGTGTGCTCGGCATTAAGGGGGAAAAACAAAGACTGTTTGTGTATCTAGGGTATCCATGTTAAACTACGGCATGGTATATCAGTGGGTTGGAAGTATTAAACCGACAAAAGTCAGGACAATTACAATCAGCCACATACACACGTGCATGGACGTCGCTATATTAATGAATATGATCTTGTACCAAAGGTTAAAGAATTTCACTTCATTCTACTGGACGCAGCTTTAATACTTCCAATATGCATTATAATCACTACCAATGTGCATTATAATCACTACCGATATGCATTATAATCACTACCAATATGCATTTTAATCACTACCAATGTGCATTATAATCATATTATCTTTGAATAGTTTGATTTAAAGACAAGTTCAACTTTGAACACGTTTTAGTAAGCGTAACTCGTGCGTTTCATGATACATGGGAGGTATTCACAAAATGGAAAACACGACTTAGACGTTTTCAGAATGGTGAATCCAATGAGCATGTTTATTGCACTGATAACAGATTTGATCCTATAAACGTAGATTCTGGTTCATCTGAAGGACGCAATCTGCTGACGGGCATTGAAATCTTACTCCAACACCATCAGACTATCGTGACATTTCATTTCACTGAGACTCCATATTCCAAATTAGTTAATTATTATATAATTATATAAAACGTCAATGACAGAGAATAGCCAGTCTCGATTATTCGAAGAAATGGATTCCACTGGGGATAAGAGGCAAAACAGCAGTGGAAATTATATGAATTGACCACTAAAATTAGTGATAACATCAGGTGTTCGCGAAAAGGGTAAGCATGTACTGACCTACCGGTTGCACCTACCACTTACACAGATTGCATAAAGAAGTATGTGCATATAAAATGATATAAAACTGCCTTGTTTGGATAGATTTAATATTGCCGATTGCGGCGTTAAACAAAAAAAAATTGATTTATTACACAGGTCCTCTGATTGCAACATTGGTGGACATATCTTCCACCCCTTGTTGTCCTTCCTACTTCGGTCTAGCTGCCCTCCAGCCAGCATGTAGCTGTTTGCTGAGTTGAGCCACCAAGGCGCTGTAGGCGGAATCATACGCCAGGTTCTTGTTTTCCTCAGGATCCTGATAATGGTCATACAGCTCCACACCGAACACTTGGGTCCAGTCTGGCCTGTACAGGGGTTGTGAGTTGAATTTGACCCACTCTGTGTATCTGTAGTGATCGGTGGTCATGCTGTAGCCCATTTGATCACCGTTGCTTTCATTCCTAGGGTACTGGGAGAACACAGCCTTCTTCCAGTTGGGACTTGCTGGGTTTGTTATTAGAGGTATCAAACTATTGCCTTCGGTGCAAAGAAGGACATTGGTAGAGTTTTCTGGACACAGGTCAAGAGCAGGAAGACCTGCAGCTTCTACTAGAGTAGGAAACATATCCACAAACTCGGTGAGTTCTTCCGTCATGATACCGTTGTCAGTGAGACCCGGCACATGTACCATCATAGGGGCGTGGGTGGCGATTTCAAAGTCAGTGTGTTTGCACCACTCACCGTGTTCACCAAGCTGCCAGCCGTGATCGCCCCAGAAGGAGATGATTGTGTTGTTGGCCAGTCCTTGGTTCTCCAGTTCCTTGACCACTCGTCCCAGCTCGTAGTCGGTGTAGCTGAGGGCGCTGTAGTAGGCTCTCCTCAATTTGAGGATAACATCGTTAGGGAGTGTGGAGTTAATGTCTCCAGAAGCATTTAAGTTTGCAATGTCAACGTATCTTCCAAGCTCTGTCATATTGTAATTAGACCATGCATATTTCTGGCATCTTATCAGGAGCGTATGGGTTGGCTGGGAGACTGATAGACGACTCGGGGTACATGTCAAAGAACCTCATTGTTGCCACAAAGGGAAGATGGGGCTTATGGAAACCTTGTGCAATGAAGAAAGGACGTTCTCCAGATCTGGCTTGGGGAGCAGCCTCTCTGATCATTTTAATGGCAAAGTCAGCATTCTGGGTGTCTTGAAGGGAGTTGTTCTTTAGAAGATCCATTGGCACATTCATCCAGCTCACATGTTCCTTGTATACAAAATCGTTTGCCGGTCCCCCTGCTTCAAAATATGGGTCTGTCCAGGATATGGGGTCGTTGTAATTGGAGGCATGTCCGGGGTGAAATATCTTACCGGAACCAATGGTTCTGTAGCCGTTCTCCTTAAAGTACTGAGGGATGGTGGTGAAGTTCCCTCCCACAACTCTCCAATAAGCTTGCAAATCATACACATGGGTAGTATCCGGTCTTCGTCCTGTGAGGAGAGATGATCTGCTCGGGGAACACACAGCCTGCTGAACATGGGCTCTCTTTAACAGAAGACTCCTTCGTGCCAGGGCGTCAAGGTTGGGTGAATGTATCGGAGGATGGACAGGACTCGGGAAGTCTTTTCCTTTAAAAATGGAGAGTTCAGGTCTCATGTCATCTGACACCAAAAACAGCACATTCATGCGAGCCAGGGCGGCAGTCACCGCCATCAGCAGAAGAGTCACCCTCAACATCATAACTTCTAAAATTACACTTGGTTCCAGCTGACAAGAAGGGATTTATGTATCTTCTGGCCTGTGAACGTAGCAGCAGAGTCTTATCAGTTGGTATGTGACTTATGTACACGGTACCCTTTTAGACTTATAGTGCTGACAATGGAAAATTGTTATCTTCTGGGCTGTGAACATAGCAGCCGATTCTTATCAGTTGGTATGTGTGTTATGTCCATGTTAGAAAAAATATCAAATACATTCTTTGACCCTAAACACAGTCCACAGCTTTCACAGACTACACCTCCGAGCAAGGTCGTCAATGTTGGGTGAACGCATCGGATGGATATCTGACACCAAAAGCGACACATTTCTCTAAGCCTGAATGGCAGTCGATGCCAGTAAGAAAGACATCGGCTTTCCAGACATTGAGGTCATCTAAAGATTGGCTGAAAGAATTCAGACTTTGACATGAACAAAATTGTACAAATGTCTGGGAACTTGCACCTGTCTCCTTATCGTTACTTCATGGCATGGAAACCTTTCATGTCAGACAACAGGCCAGATTGTGTAATGCGTGGTCCTAACACTCTGTCCATTTTGATTGTCCATGGAATGTATTTACGATTTTCAACTAATGTGAAACATCTACGCTATTGAATTGAGCAGTCTCGATTATCCAGATTCCATTGTGCGTTAAAGCAAAATATAGCAGTGGAAATTATATAAATGGATCACTGAAAATCAGTGTTTGCGAAAAGATTAAGCACGTCCTGCCCTACATAAAATTGTAATTTATAAAGTACACTCAATGTAATAGGTTTTACATTAAGGATTACATGTAAACTAATAATGTAAAAACTGTCCTAAATGGGTTTTTTCTTAAATAAAGGGTTAATATCATATATATCTCCCCTTGATGTAAAAGTATGTTGTACTTTGTACGTTTTCTAAGAAACGACATGTAGAAGAGCCATGGAACTTGTGTAAGTGCACTGCACCTTCTCATTACTGATACCTCTCAACAACGTCTCTTTGGACACAATAGAATATGATAAAGTTTCCACCTTTCTTTCATGGCAACGCGGTGGGTACGGGTGGCCCAGTCGTCTAAGGCGCCGCGATTCGCTGTGCAGATTTGCGTCCCTTGAGCACGCCAGAAACCTATGATTACGGGTTCGAATCCCGGTTCGCCCCGATTATGGTTCTAGGTTTGTCAGCACCATACCCGTGTTCGTGGGTTTCAATGAAGTGGTAAACGTCTGAGACCTGCATCACTTGGGTCTTTCCTCTCACCTTAAGGTGACACGCCGTGATATAACTAGAATACTCTTAAAAGTGGCGTTAAACTCACTTACTCACTTACTCACTCACTCCATGGCAACGTAAAAGCTGCCTCTGCAGAGCTGAGTGGCCGATATTTAGAGATTTCGTTCACATGTGGTATTTAGGTACAATATATATCAGGACTCAACCGAAAAGGTTACCATGGTAACATAACAGAGGCAAATAATTGTCGAAAGTAAGATGTTGTACGATTTCGTTCAAAGATAATAAGAAAAGTGAGTGAGTGAGTACGGTTTTACGCCGCTTTTAGCAATATTCCAGCAATATCACGGCGGGGGACACCAGAAATGGGCTTCACACATTGTACCCATGTCGGGAATCGCACCCGGGTCTTCAGCATGACGAGCGAACGCTTTAACCACTAAGCTACCCGACCGCCCCTATTAAGAAAAGACGCAAAACTCAAACCACATTGGTGTTTGATACCATGGCAACGAAATGTAAGCATCGTTCTAATGGGTTTCTTTCAGTATATTTTCTGACTCCAAACTCTATGAAGACACCTTGACAGTGCACCGTTTGGTAAAAATGCAGATATTATTTTATTTCTTTCAACTTGAAATGTACGAATCTTCTGACTGGTCGAAAGTTAGATAATTAACCCTCTTCAAGCTTATTTTCCGATACGCTTTGCTATAAGTGCTCTTAAAAAAAATAGTGTGGTTAATGAGCACATGGTCGATGTGCTATACAGATGGTATGCCTGACACAGGACCAAAAGCCTTGAACACAATTGAAATAACCGCAAATACAATTGAAAAAGCATGCGATAACATTTATGTATGCTTCTGATAAGAACTTACTTGGGGCGTGAAATTCATCCTAAACTACACCTTTAAAACATATGATCATCATTTATTGTCCTATGCACAAGTCGTATGCACATTGTCATGAATGCTATGACCGAATTTCAGACATTTCGAAGCATAAATTCAAAGTTGAGACCCCAATAAATATTGTATCACATGCATTTCTTTCAGTTGTAATAGGTACTGAAATTACCGACTTCCTTCTAACTTTACAAGGGAATTTAATTATGCGAATGTTCTTGGGCAAAGAAACATGGTTGATACATTTTAAAATTTTGAAATACATGCATTAGATAAGTATGTGTCCAAATATCAAGGGTATATATATATACTACACATTGACGAATGATATTAAAATAAATTCCAACAATTATTATAGTATCCAACATATATATTAATCCAAGATTGAAATATCCGGGTCCACAATGATTTGGTAACCCAAATAGGACCTCAAACGTCTTTGGTGTCAGCCAAAGTGTGATCAGCGCATGGAATCGAAACCAGATGTTTGGATCAGCTATCTAGCAACATACAGGTCGTCGGCAGCATTCAACAACACAACGGGAAGACAGTTTTCTCCTGATTGCAGAAAAACGTCATCACTTCGTGACCTGTCACAACACTCAGAAATGACTTGAGGAATGCCAGTGGCATAATCGTGTGTGAGCGTCTCCTCGAGGCTGGTCTCCGGTAATGGAGAGCATGCATTCGCTTCGCAAAAATCCACATCACAGGCAGGCACGTTTGAATTGGGCTGAAGATAAAAACAATTGAATAGACCAGGACTACGCTGCAGTACTTTTCACTGAGGAATCGAGATACTCTCTCGACTTCACAGATAATCGTGCGCGAGTGTGGCTTAGACAAAATATCTCAGGATTCCAACGTAGCCGAACATGACCGCTGTTGAGGAGGCTCAATCATGATTTGGGGTAGGATCAGTAGAACTGGAAGAACCGATCTCCTTGTCCTACAGCAGGGTACGATGACAGGTACTTGAGACGGCTGCTGGTGCAATCGGCCCGGACTTCATTCTCATGGATGATAATCCATGCCCACATCGTGCCTTGATGCCTTCTTGGAAGGAGATTATTGTCCCCATGGCTTGGCCATCCTGGTCACCAGACCTCAACCCCATCAAACACATGAGGGACGAGCTGCAGATCGCCAACCATCCGACAACTCTACAGGAATTCGGTAATGCTGTTATTGAAGAATAGAAAAATATTCTCTTGGCAACCATCCAGACACTTATTGGGAGCATGAGACTGGCCAGAGTAAACATGGTATGTCTGTTATGTTCATGTTGGAAAAAACATAAAATACATCTTATGGCTCAATAAGAAGTCCAGCTTTAACAGAAGACCCCACCGAGCCAGGACGTCAAGGTTGGGTGAATACATCGGAGGATGAAAACCTGACACCAAAGGCAACTCATTCCTGAATGAGCGTTGATGCCAGTAATATCAACTAAAGAATTGTTGAAAAAATTATGTTTTACAAACGTTTGGGAACATACACCTGTCTGCTTATCGTTACATCATGGCATGGAAACCTTTCTTATCGGGCAAAATAGACCACATGGTGTAGGGCTTGGTCCTAACACACTGTCCATTTTGATAGTCTGTGAAATGTATTTACGGTTTTCAAGAAATATACGGCAGATTATCTGGATTATCGAAACAGATTTAATTGGTTGGAAAAGCCGAATAGCAGAGGAAACTACATGAAGGGATCACTGAAAAGTAATGATACCAAAATGTTCGCCTCAAGGGTGAGCAAATCCTGCCCTACATGGAATTTCGCTTGTCCTACCATAGATATGCGACTGTTTAGCTAAAAGGTGTATTCTGAACTTTTGAATTTGTAACTGAAGAGGACAATTGGTTTCGCTGTGTGGTCATGGGTATTTTAACAGTCAAAAAGTGGGTAGCCTAGTGGTTAAAGCGTACGCTCGTCATACCAAACACCCTGGTTCGATTTCCTACAGTACACTGTGTGGAGCCCTTTTCTGGTGTCCACGGTCATGACTCTTGCTGGAATATTGCTAAAAGTGGCGGAAAACCAGTATAGTTACTCACTCCCAAACCATGTTCACTCGAACTGCTAAACTTGCAATATAGATTACAGCAATAGAACACTATATCTGACTGCTGTAGTAAGCCATGAACTTGACCTTGGATGCAGGAGCTTTGCATGCCTAATTGCAAACAACACCGTGCATCAAGGTTGAAATGTTAGAGGGTAAGTGTAGGGTATTTTGAATGTACCTGTTCTTTTGTGGTAGAGATAAGGTGACAAGCCTTAAAGTGTTGACATTATAATTTAAATATATCCTAGAAATTCCAAACACCTTAATACTGTTCATAAGCATCTTTTCTTTCCGTATGTAGTACTTTTACATTGCAAAATAGAAGCATAGACAAAATGGTAATTTATATTCGATGTGCCGAGTTACGTCCCTTAGACAGGGTGCAGTGATATAACTGAAGTAACCCGGGACGCTCAGGCAAAGTGGTCATAGAGCAGTTTGCGATATGTTATATATATATGTCACAACAGATAATCTAAAGAAGAAACGCAAATGTGTGACTATACAGTTGAGAACAGGTTGTGGTCCTTGTTGTGTTCAAGGCCTGACCTTGGTGTGTTCCGAGACTCACCCACCTCACCAGGACTCCTCACCTGGGCATTACTTCCTACGAATGTTAGGAACTTTTCTCTCTCTGAATTTGTTGATATTCGCAACAAAGTCACACTTTATAACATGTCTACCATTATTGTTAAAAACTATACCTGATCCAGATACCCTATAGATAATGGTTCCAACGCTGCAAGAAACGAGACCAGCCTCGCGTGACAGTATATACTGTATTTAACTGTACATCTTATCACTTTCCAAGACCACAGAGACTGTGATATTGCAAACCATTGGCCAAGATACGCCGCCATGTTGTCGTGCCGCTTGACCGTCGTGCTGACTCTAGTAGTTGCTGACTCATTATGCCATACAACTGATATATAAAACGATCAGAAATTATTACAGCAATCTAAATCTCATGAAATTCAGATCTAAGTTCTCGCTGCCACTTAACAAAGATCTGGGGCGGTATTCACAAAGCTTCTTAGAATTTTCTTAGAAATTGACTTAAGTTTTCTAAAAAATTCTTAGCTAAGAAAAAATCTTAAGTATCAATTCACAAACAGTCTAAGCATGATTCTTAGCAAAGTATTAGTATAATATCTAAGAGTTTTCTTAGTCTACCCCGTTGCATCTTGGGATGTAAAGTTTTGACTAAGAATATTCTTAACACCTTTCGAGTGACGTTTTGGACATTCCCTTATCTATAAATAGCAACAAAACACGACTCTTCAGTGTTGAAAACGCGAAAGTAAAAAGTTTTGGCAGTCGACCTATTTTCGATCGGCGGGAATATCGACGGCAGCCAGCGAACATGACTGACAAAAAGCGAAAACCCAACTGGTCTGAGGACCAAAACCTGCTCCTGACGAAACTTGTTGACGAAAACAAAGCGGTTTTATTAGGAAAGTTCGGGGCAGGCGTGACAGCTCAAAAGAAAAAGGAAAAGTGGGTGGAGTTGACCCACACGATCAACGCAGCCTTTCCAGGTACGGCAGACCATAAAGATAGTTTTTGGTATTGAAATATATTAAGATTCAAATAATGTTCAAAATTCTATTGTTATTCAAGATTTTAGTATTTTGCAAATTTTCACAGCAGCAACGCACATAAAATCGGAAGGATTTTTTTGGATAGAACTAGATTGTATTGTATAAGATCTATATTTTATTTAACATAAAATTTATTTTCAGGGAAAGAAAAAAATAAATGTTATTGTACAGGTTATCAGTTATATTACAGTGTCACATCCAGTACCTATTCGTTTATTTCTGAAATTTACATTACACAGTTGAGAATTGAATATTTTTATGTAAATCATAGGATGCATCAGAGCCCCCGAGGAGGTGGAAAAGAAATGGCATAACATCCAAAGTAAAGCCAGGGGAGAAATTGCAAGGTACAAGCAAGGTGTTATCAGCACAGGTAATTATTGTAGTTCACATTTTGCAACACTGAACTGTAATAGTAGTTTTACAGTGCATAAATCACCAGATCTGAGATACATTTAATCTTAATGTGTTACAATTATTGTTTATTCTAGCTTTCAAGTAAAAATATTTGTATTTGGTGTCTTTAAGTACATTTTGGTGTCCCATACAGTGTATAATCAATTCTTAAAAGTTTGAATTTACATATGTATATACAATTCTTAGGCTGTCTTCAATTGTTACTTTAGTATTATTTAACACATTGATTCTCAATTTTTCTGATGTAAGTAAAAATAATTTTCACTTCGACAGGTGGTGGTCCATCACCATGCCCTACTTTGAGTGCCACATCCGAGGTAGTGTGGGATATTCTGGGGCAGGATAATGTATCCATATCTGGAATCCCATCAGCCATGGACACATCCCTCCTACAGGTGGTCAGCCTTTCTGACACAGTTAATGCAAGGTAATTCTACTGATGTATTCCCTTGCCCTTGTAGTGAGTATAATCATTCATATAGCATAACTCTACTTAAATGATTTGCTATGAAAAACTATTATGTTAGCAAAGTACCTCCTGTGTATAAGTGGTCATACACATTACTATAAAAGCATCCATATTAAATTATATAACACATCAATAACAGAGAATAACCAATCTTGATTATCTTCCTAAACAAATCCTGCAAAGTGCAAGATTGTTGTGAAAAGTATTTGAAGGGATCACTAAAAATTATTGATACTCCATGTGTTTGAAACTGATTATTACCTCATATTTGTATCCCTATTCAGATACATAGATACTCAAAAACAACAATGACTAAAACATTTTCTGTCCATTTATATACAGTGAATACAGTGACATGGCAGCACTTGACTTGCAGACACTCCAGGCCATGGGAGGAGCTGTCCCTACTGCATCAACAGTGTCTGTGCCTTTACAGCCGGAACCATCAGTGCCAGACACCGCCTCCTCAGCACAGGGATCCATGAAGAGACCAGCAGGATGGAGCACAGTCCAGGAGCCAAAGTCCTCGCGACAAACTTTCCTGTTGGGGGAAAGCTATGATGAGCTACTCTACAAGAAACTTAAACTTGAAACTGATTGTTTAAGTCTTAAGAAGAAAATTATGGAAATTCAACTTCAAAAACTGCAGAATGAATAAAATTTATATCTATACCATGTATGCATATCACTTTTTAAGGCCAGAGAGTTTACCATGTTTTCAAAATGTAATGTATTCTTTGAAGAGAAAGATTTGAAACCTATTTTGACAGAACCATGCTCCTTTTCAGTTTAAATTTATCTTCAATAATATAATATTGGTTAATGTGTGAGGTTACAGTGTGTGAAATGTCATTTCTATCAATAGATACATTGATAACATGTCATAATTTGAATGTGTTTTGATTCAACCATATTCTCATGTTTTACTTCTGCTTACAGCAACATTGCATTTCAGGGTTCAAAATCTTCGTATTTGGGTGCCAATGATATGGATAAAATCAATAAAATGTAAGACCTTAGCTGACTAAGCTTGTAACACACTTTTTCCAGTTAAGTATTTCATTGAACAGTATTGTGTATCTGTGTTGAATGCCTTTCATATTTTTATAAGAATATTGTTCCCACAACAAGGAGGCAAACAGTTCAGGATAATGTCAAAATGATCCACAAAAGATTTTGTTAATCTATTTTAGGAATAGGGTACTAGTCATCATATTGTGTTACTTATCGCGAAACTGGAAGATGTCCATTATGGGGTGCCTGTCACTAATTGTAGAAAGTACTTGCTCCGTCTGTTGAGACTATCACATGACAGGTATGTTTATCAGTGCTAAACAGTATTGTTATCTATGGCCAGTGGCCAGTGAGGATGAATATCTTATTCTGTGTCACTGCATTTGATATGACAAACAGGGCCAGTTACTCCAAGAAATTGTGATATGTATTACAACATGTATTTGCTAAATTTCTGAAATATGTATAAGAAATGCAGGAAGAATTTAAACGTGTTTAACTTTCAACAATGATTATGTATTGAAGACTTTATGTACTATCGTTCTTTTGAATTTACTACAATAAAATCTGTCTGTCATAAGATGTTTCTTACAAGAAGATAAATGTATTTTCATATACCAGGTAAGTAAACTGGGAAAATGCATTGCAATTGAACCCTTGAGCATTTTTTAAAGAATCCTTGAGATTCACAAATTATATATAATATTTAACAATTATAGTAACAATATTAAATTCATTAACCAGTTGTAATAAATTGTTTGTGAATTATTTTTGAAAAAGGTAAACCTTATCAACTGATTCTTTTTCTGTACTCTTATTTGTTAAAATAAACTGTTTTTTTACTGAAATTTTTTGTTGTTGAATATAATTCATTAAATAGTGGTTTTACTCAATTAAAAGAAGAATTATCACTCACACTGAAAGTGAGTGTTTGCAAAGTGATTCCTGAAGGTCAAGTTGTGGCCAGGAATATCTCTCTCTCTGTAGGGGGCTGTCATGTCTTCATCCGGATCATTGGACTCACTGTCAGGTAATGGGATATTCCTTATCTTGCAGATGTTATGCAGAATTCCACAACATGTTATGATTTTACATGCCTTAATTGGAGAAAGGCGAATCTCTCCATGTAAGACATGGAACCGTCTCTTGAGCTGGCCTATACCTCTTTCCACAACACTCCGGGTCCTTTTATGTGCTCTGGAAAACAAGTTCAGAACCCGTCTAATACACACACACACACACAACAATTTACAGATATGTGTGTATTACAGTCAGTGTGTTCCATAATGAATTTCCACAAATTTGTTTCAGTTATCTTACAAATTGAGTATGAATCTGTCCATTTTATTTATAATAATAATGAAATCCAAACATTATTATGCTCTATTTCATCACTCAGTGATTGAACATGAGTAGTCAATAATTATTGTGAAGTGTCTAAGCCCTTTTGAACTCCAATAACGATTATCCAGTCTGTTAAGTGAATGGACAGATGTTTTAGTCACTTGATGTAATGACTAAAATATTTAGGCTTTTTTATACTTTGTAAAAAGTGATTCACATTGACCTATATATTTTTAGAATATTTTTTATGTTTTTTTAAACATAAATGTTTTTCTTGCTTATCTGTCATTAAATATATTTCATATTTTTATATGGGTAATTTCTTAATGTTCACTTTCGATATATATATGCACAACCAAATATCTTTTCACATTTGAACACTTAAACTTTTCACAACAACCAATTCTCACTTTTGTAATTTTGAAGGGGGATAACTCTCATTACGATTGCGTGTTCACGAATGTAGGAGAATATTACCGATTGTAGGATGTCTGTGAGCCAGGATTTGGTCTCAGGTACGGCGTAAGCAGCCAGTTTCTGCAGGGGTAGCCACTATCTCCAAGTAGGTGACATCCGGTTGGCACGATGTGTCGATGTGTCGTTCAAATAAAATATGAAGCCCGCTTTCGGTGAGTATTCTCGAGTCGTGTGTCGAGCCTGGCCACTTCGCAACAAGGTCAATTATCATATTGTTTGGATCGAAAACAATCTGTGTGTTTATACTGTGGTACTGTTTACGATTTACATATGAGGGTTCGTCGACAGATGGAGCAATAATCTGCACATGCGATCCATCAATCACTCCAACAACGCCAGGGAAGTGAGCGATGTTGTAAAATGCCGCTTGATTCCGACGAATGCAACCCTGTGTTGTCGGAAAATGAATGAACTGGGATGCCATCTCGGCGTCGGACAAAACTGACACTGTCTGCTCTATCGCCCGACTGACCGACGATTGGGAAAGACCCAAGTCATCCCCGTTGCATAATTGCATTTTGCCTGTAGCGAAATAACGTAGCGTTGCTACAACCTTTTCAGTTCCTGTCATGGCATGAGAACGAGAGGTGCTAGGACATATTTTATCAGCAATTAACCCAGTCACATATTCAATACCACTTTTGTTTAACCTGTATCTTCTGATTAGTTCTTTGTCAGAATATATTTGCAGTACATCTCGTCTAGCGGTGGTTTGTACAATACCTATGGCAGCCATATTAGATGTCTTAAGAAAATTCTTAAGGACTAAGTAAGCTCATGAAGTATCTTAAACTTAAGCAAAGAACTAAGCACTGATAAGGTCTGTGAATATGACTTAAGGAATTTCTTAAAACTTAAGTTGGTTGTTAGGGAAACTAAGAATTCTTTGTGGATTTAAGAATTCTTAAGGCTTAAGAAAATTCTAAGAAGCTTTGTGAATACCGCCCCTGAGGTCATCCCATTACGGGTCACGTCGGAATGACCTTTCGCGAACTTTGACCAACCACTGAAATGACAAACAAGAAGTCAACATCAGCCAATTAGAAAGCAGGTTTCTCGAGCTTTACGGCACTCGCTTCAACCTGGCGACTTGCATTTCACACTTCGCTTGAAAAATATGTTGACACAGTTTTCAATTAAAATTTGGAAAACTGAACAAACGAACATTCCGAGATGTCAAGTATATGGTTGAGATTGTAGGGCAGTGAATCCCAGGTACTGTGCAACGCCTCCTCTATTCAAATGTTTGAAGAAATCAGTCGTACGGACCGTAACTGTCCTTCGGAATCCCCGGTGTTCACGTTTCCGAGGTTGCATGATAAGAAAACGCTTTCCAAACGTCACTTTCATCTGATCAGCAACGCTTTGATTTGTCGGATGAAAGATCGTCCTGACGTGACCCGTGATGGGATGTCCTCAGATCTTTGTTTAGCGATAGCGTGAACAAAGATCTGATTTTAATGAGATTGCAGCGATCTTAAATTATTTCTGTTTTTACTATGGCTTAAATCGTTAGCTCGTCATGCTCAAGATCCGAGTTCGAATCTCCACATTAGTACAATGAGTGAACCTAATTCTTGGTTATCTCACTTGCTTGCATGTTGCCAAAATCTGTCATATACACGCATTAGTTTCATAAATTATAACATACGCTTTTATCAACGCCTTCATATATAATACAAGACGTTGGTTGCCTTGTAAAAAGGGATTCCTCGTCATGCAAAAGACTTTGGATAATGCGTCAAGCTCATTCTTGGTGCCCCACGCCTTGATGTGACAGGATTATTGCTTAAAGCAGTGTAAATCTCTTCCCGAGTATTCGCTCATATAAAATAGTGTTGCATTATATTTCATATCTATCATACATATTGTACAAAATATACATGATCTATATATACTATAGATAATGGTTCCAAGGCTGCAAGAAACTAGGTTGACATGGTGACATAGTACAGATGTATGTCTTATCTCCTTCCCAGTCCACCACGTCTGTGATAGTGAAAAATATTCACCAAAAAAGGCAGCCATGTTGTGGCACCGCTTGACGGTTGTGCTGAGTCTAGTAAGTGCACACGTCCATTGCAAAAGGAAAAATGTATTATTTCTTGTGGCAGATGTGACACAATCATATCCTTCTTTGGGGACCATGGATGGCAGTTAGGTGAACACGGGTTGTGGACCAAACACACCAACTTCGACATAGCTACCCATGCCCCTATGATGATACATATTCCCGGACTCACCGACCAAGGAATACCGACAGAAGAGCTTGTGGAGTTTGTGGACCTGTTCCCTACACTGGTTGAGGCAGCTGGTCTGCCGTCTCTTCACGTCTGTCCTGAAGATTCCTCCAAGGTGGACGTGTGCACAGAAGGACAGAGCTTCCTCCCTTTGATCAAGCAGCCCAAAACTGATAATTGGAAGAAGGCTGCCTTTTTTCCAATATCCAAGACACTCCGGTGGTCGCCACAAGCTGATGGGTTACTCGATGACGACCAGTCTTTATCGCTACACCGAGTGAGTTGGACTTGATGCTACTCATTACAAACCCAAGTGGTCAGTGTCTTCTGGTGCGGAGCTGTACGACCATTATCAGGATCCACAAGAGAACATCAACTTGGTTCATGACCCTGCCCACAAAGACCTGGTGGTCAAGCTCAGCCATCGTCTTCACGCAGGATGGAGGCATGAATTGACCACTCAACATGTACCGTCTATTATTGGGAAACGTTCGAGTAATAAATAACTGAAACTGGTTTCACAGTTTTTCTATATTAGTAGTAGAAAGACATGCGTGAGTGAGTAAGTTTGGATTAATGGCGCTTTGAACAGTAGTTAAGTTATATCATGGTGTGACATTTTGATATGGGAGACCCGAAGTGATGCAGGTCTTTGTCGTGAAACACTTGATTGATTGAGTGAGTGAGTCAGTTGGGTTTTCCGCGCTTTTAGCAATACTCCAGCAGTACCACGGCGGGGTACACCAGAAATGGGGTTGACACATTGTACCTTTGTCAGGAATCGAACCCGGGTCCGCGGCGTGACAAGCGAATGCTTTAATCACTAGGCTACCCGTCCGCCCCATACCTTGAGTGAAATCCACGAGCACAGGTATGATGCTGGCAGTAATAAATGAGGTGAGGTGTTAAACGTCGTATTCAATAGTGTTACACTAACATAGGGACGTGCATGTACGTGTCTGTTGCTACTTGAATCAGTCCGGACTTATGCAGGTTTTATAGCGCTTGCCAACTGATCATGAGACACCATGCCACAGTTTAACATGGATATCCCACGTAGACAAGCACACACAAGCACACACAAGCACACACAAGCACACACACGCTGATTCGAGATTGTAGATTCAGATAGTTTTGTAATAACCATGCTCGAAATTACATTTTCAATGTCAGTGATGAAATAATAATAACACAAAAATAAGGGATTTCTCAAATGAACAGATTTAATACAATACCGTTCAACCTACGATGGGTCTGCCATGACCATCCGTCATCTCGGCTCTCCATCCAGCATGTAGTTGCCCACTCAACCGGCTGCGAAGTCCTTGTTGGGCAGCATTGAGCGCGAGGTTGTGATTCTCCTCAGGATCAGCCAGATGGTCGTACAGCTCCACTCCATGAAGCTGGTCCCACTGAGGCATGTAGTGGGGCATGCTGAGGAACGTCACCCATTCAGTGTAGCGATACCTCCACGTGGTGATCGCGTAGCCCATGGCTGACGTGTTGTTATACACTCGTGGGTACTGCGAGAAGGCTGCGGTCTTCCACGAGGGCAGATTTGGGTGCTGCAGCAGAGGAACTAGACTCCTTCCTTCTGTGCAGGCGTGAGTTGAGGACGAGTCTACTTGACACGTAGGCAGTGTGGGAAGACCTGCTGCTTCTACTAGAGTTGGGAACAGGTCTACAAACTCTGTCAGCTTTGTTGTGCTCATCCCATGGTCCGTCATCCCTGGGACGCGGATCATAAGAGGCGAGTGGGTGGCAATGTCAAAATTGGTCTGTTTGCCCCATTCCCCATGTTCTCCCAACTGCCAGCCATGATCGCCGAAAAATGACACTATCGTGTTGTCAGCTAG